CTGAAATAGACCTTTTAAGACAAACAGCTCTACCTCCTCCAGATACCCAGTCAGGGCACATACAAGCATCAACCAATGAATGCATTAGAAGTGGAACAACACATCAATGTTTCTCTCTCTCTGAAATCAATAAAATTAAATAAAAATCATAAAAGACAAACAGCTCCATTTCAGACCAAGTCAAGCTCTCAACTTGAAGCAGTTTTTTTTTAATTAATTATTTTTTATTTCAGAGAGGAAAGAAGAGGAAGGAGAAAGAGAAACATCAATGATGAGAGAGAATCATTGACCGGCTGCCCTTGCACGCCCCCCACTGGGGATTGAGCCCACAACCCAGGCATATGCCCCGACTGGAATTGAACCCGGGACCCTTCAGTCCGCAGGCGACGCTCTATCCACTGAGCCAAACTGGCTAGGGCTTGAAATAATTATTTTTGCTTTAGTTTTTTTTTTGAATATATTTTTATTGATTTCAGAGAGGAAGGGAGAGGGAGAGAGAGAAATATCAATGATGAGAATCATCGATCAGCTGACTCCTGTGTGCTCCCTACTGGGGATTGAGCCCGCAGCCCGGGCATGTGCCCTGACCTGGAATCGAACTGTGACCTTCTTGTTCATATATCAATGCTCAATCACGGAGCCACGCCCGCTGGGTTTTGCTTTAGTTTGAGTCAGTGATGGCCACACACACGTGAAAGTGAAGGTCCCAGAGCACAGAAGCATCCTATATAATAAAGAGGTGATATGCAAATTGACCCTCACTCCATCATGCCGTCACAAGATGGCTGCTCCCACAGCAGAGGCAGGGTTCCCGTAATGAGCGATCAGCAGGGACCTGAGGCTGTGCGGCACTGGGCCAGGGCGGGGGACCTGAGGCTGCACCCTCCCCCCCCCCTCTCCAGCGGGGCTTAACAGGGGTGGGGCCGGCTGGGTCTGGATCTCGCCCAATGCGGTGGGGCTGGCTGGGTGATTTCAAGGTGCACATGGGTGGGTGGGACTTGACTCTGGGTCCCTTGGCGCGCCCCAGACTCTGACAGGAAGGAGATTTTCATATACATTTTACTAATTTTCTTTAATCTCTGACACTTATACTATAGAGAAAGGGCAAATAGCAATATTAAAATATTTCCTCTAATTAATTCCCTTTTAATGTGCACGAATTTCGTGCACCAGGCCACTAGTATGTAATAAAAATCAAGTCTCCCTCCCGCCCGTCCCAGAGACACCGGCTCCTGGACTGATCTGTGCAGACAGAGGTGTCTGTTTAGTCTGCATTTTACTCAGGGCAGCAGCACAGTTACAAACTAACTGTTCCCTCCCGCTGTGTCCTGTAGCCGCGCCTTCAAGATCTTGGCTCAGGGGCACCTCCAGACCCGCGAGTGTCCTTCCAGGGCCGCCGGGATGCGGGATGCGTCGGGGTCTCTGTCGGATGCGTCTCTGGAAGTCAGAGGTTACGTACATTGGCGACTTTGGTGGATGCTGCCTGAGGGGACCCCACAGCCGTCTTGCCTCTCATGACTGCTCCCTCCCTTCCGACCTGTGGATTCTGTGGATTCCTTAGCGGCGTTGTTTGGCCCCCCTGCCAGGCACACTGAGGGCCACAGTTGAATCTGTTCTTCGTCAGCAGACCTGGGGTGCTGTTTGCCTGCAGAGGGCCCTGTCCCGGCGGCTCAGGTTAGTCCTGGTCGCACTGCAGTGGCAGAGCTGGGACGGAACCCAGGCCTTCCTGCTGAGGTCAAGGCCGTTCTGCTCGAGCGTGTGCCCGATGCTGTGGGCAATGGGTGCTCCATCCGCCGGGGCATCACCCCACTCACAGGTGGGGGCAGGGCTGGTGACTGGGACGGGGGGGGGGGTGGAAGCCCTCCTGGAAAAGACAGGACCAGGGTTCCCCAGCCAGGCCCACCCAGCAGCCACTGGCCTGGCCCAGGACCCAGTGACCAGGTGGCATTGCTGGGGCCATGACCTACCTGTTCCTGGTTGGCTGACACGTGGCAAGGCTGGGCTTGAGGAGGCAGAGGGTTCACACTCCAAAGGAGGGGCCAACTGTTAGTGCCCCAGTGTGTGTGTGTGCATGTGTGTGTGTGTGCGTGCTTGCATGTGTGTGCGTGCGCGCGTGGGGCAGGGCACAGCCTGTGAACCTGTAGCCTGTTGGAAGGAGCATCCTCCTCCCTCCACTGACCTCCCTGTGGCCCATCTGGTCCCTTCCGCCCTCTGTACCTTGGTCTGCCGTTTTTGAAATGGTCAGAGTCCTGCCTGGGTCTGTGGGTCCCCCAGCAGGAGGTTGACGCCCCTCCCCCACTGCTGCAACCCTGGCCTTTCTGTCTTTTGCAGAACACCTGCTGTGTGCTGCACCGGAACTCTCCTCACTCAGCTTTCATGCAGCCTGGGAGGGAGATGGCATCTCCCCATTTCCCAGGTTTGGAAACCGAGGCCAGGCCGGGAGCTGGTGGCTGGCGCAGAGCTGTTTACCGGAAGCAGGCCAGCTGTGTCCTCCGGGGCCCGCAGGTGTCCTCACGGCGTGGGGGCGGCTGTCGGCACAGGGGCGAGATTTGCATCCTGATCTCTGTGGGCAAAACAGGGCTCCTGGCCGTGTTTTCCACCGAGTGTGTAGGGGGGTAAGGTGTGGGCTGTCTGGGTGGGTGGGGACGCGCGGCGAGGTGTGCCTTCCTTTCACCAAGGAAGGGCTTTAAACCACGTATTTGCAAATCTGTTGGAAAAAATAGATGCTTCAAACCAGGCCCGGCTCCTGGATGCGCAGCTGCGAGGCCTTTGCTTAGTCACTCGACAAGCACTGCTGCGCTCTGTGCTGAGTCGGGGATGACGGAGGCCGGCTGACACGAGCCTGGCTCATCAGCACGGATTCCGCCCCTTTGTCCCCTCAGCAGCCCGGAGAGGCAGGCGCTGCTAGTGTCAGTGAGGAGGGAGGACACCCCGCAGCCTGGCCCCAGTCCCTGCTCGAAGTCACAGGTGCGGGACCCGCCACGCCCATGCGGTTGGCTGGAGACGAGGGAGCAGAGATGGCTGTGGGAGCCCTGGTGCCCCCACCTGACTTTAGGATCTGGGACGGGGACGCTAGAGCCGAGCTCTTTAGGATGCAAATCTCGCCCCTGTGCCGAGTTAGAAAGCTGAGTGAGGAGAGAGGAGTGAGCCAAGCAGAGGAGCCAGGATGGTGGCCAGCGGGCACGGCCCATGACACATCGGGCACAGTTACAGCCGTCCGTAGTGTGGCAGGGACAGGGTCCAAGATTAGGGGGGCAGGCTGAGCTGGCGAGGCGGCCTTGGTGAGGAGAGGGCCCTGGTAGCGGGTGGCCTGGCTCCTGTGGGGACTAGGAGCCGAGTGGACCTGTGACAGGGGCAGATCGCAGACTGCCGTCTAGGAATCAGGTCAGAGACAAGCAAGGCCGGGCAGCAGGGCCGGGCGGAGGTGCCCAGACCGGCACGGGCCTGGGCCAGGGGCTGGGGCCACAGGCGGGAGGACCAGGGCTGGAGGCTGCTACAGGGACCCTGCCCCAGTTCCCAGCCACACTCTGTTCTGCCCAGATCTAGAGCCCAAGGCCAGCCCGGCCTGGCTGGGGAGCATGTAAGGGGCCCATACCCAGGGCTGAGGTCAGGCCTGGACAATGATAGGTGCTCGGACACCTGCCAGGATTATAACGGCGCCGCTGGCTCCTGCCTGGAAAAGGAGCCCGGTTCGGGGACCATTTTCCCTATTTTAGAGATAAGGACCTGGTGCCTCCACCAGGCTCACACCGAAAGTGACCGGTGGGTGAGGATGTTAACCAGGAACCCCGCCCTCCGGAGTGTCCGCAGTGGGACTCAGCCGGGAGGAAGGCCCACATGAAGGTATAGACTCAGGCCCTGCCCCGAAACAGTTCAGTCCATGGGGGGAGCCCCACCCCACTGCTCACCCACCTGGCGCTGCTCAGACCACTCAGGCCCCAGCCCCAGCCTGGCCAAGCCGCCCATGGTCACTGTCCCTGGCCAGGCACCTGCCCTGAAGGACTGGTGGGGTGGTGCCGCCCCATTTGTTGCCAAAGGTTTCCGGGATTGTCTTCGGGGTGGGGTGGGGGTGGGATGTGGGAACAGTGGGTCAAGGTGCGGCTCGGAGACCCCAGACCCAGGGAGGTCCCCTCGAGGCCCCAGCAGGGAGGGGTTTCCAGGGGAGCACCCAGCAGCCTCAGCCTGTGGAGGGGGGTGGGGTGGAGGGAGGGGGAACCCGGAGGCGGATGCAAATGAGGGCTGGGGCTGCTTTCCCAGGGAAATGGTCATTTTCATAGACACCAGCCCCCTGGGGCCTGGGCGCAGGCAGCATTCCTGGTCACAATTCCTCAACAATCCGCCTAACGCCAGCTCAAGTGCCTGCAGCCTGTGCCGTCTGCCCTCACCCAGGAGAGCTGTCTCCATTCATCTGGGTCTTTTCTGTCTTTAATGGAGTGTTACGTTTTCTTTCTTTTTAAAGTAGGTTTTTGTTGATTGCAGAGAAAGGAAGGGAAAGAGAGAGAAAGAAACATCAATGGCGAGAGGGAATCACCGGTTGGCTGCCTCCTGCACGCCCCACACTGGGGATCGAACCGTGACCTCTTGGTCATAGGTCGACACTCAGCGCTCAACTCCTGAGCCACACTGGCTGGGCCGGAGTGTTCCATTTTTCTCCAGAGTTTAAGCGTGTTTTATGAGATTCGTGCCTGATCAAAGCCTGGGAAGATGTGTTTCTTTTCTCCTGATACTTCCTGGTTGCCTTTAGGGATGCGGTGGGTTTCTGTATGTTGGTCTTGGATCTGGAACCTTGTAACTCAGTGGTTCTCAACCTTCCTAATGCCGTGACCCTTTAATACAGTTCCTCATGTTGTGGGACCCCCAATTTCATCGTTACAAATTGAACATAATTAAAGCATAGTGATTAATCACAAAAACAATATGTAATGATATATGTGTTTTCCGATGGTCTTAGGCGACCCCTGTGAAAGGATCGTCCGACCCCAAAGGGGTCGCGACCCACGGGTTGAGAACCGCTGTTGTAACGCCTGGCCCTTCTAAGAGCTGCTTCTCTTCGTGAATGTTCGTATCTGCCCGGAGCTTCCTTCCCGGCCTTTTACGAAAAGGACCCCTCTCCTCCTGCGGGATTGGATGGCGTATCCTCATCCTCTCCGCGGCTTCCTCTCATCGCTCACGTTCAGTCACGGTTGTCTCTCTTTTTTTTTTTTCTTTTTAAATATATTTTATTGATTTTTTACAGAGAGGAAGGGACAGAGATAGAGAGTCAGAAACATCGATGAGAGAGAAACATCGATCAGCCGCCTCCTGCACATCTCCCCACCGGGGATGTGCCCGCAACCCAGATACATGCCCTTGACCGGAATCGAACCTGGGACCCCCCCAGTCCGCAGGCCGACGCTCTATCCACTGAGCCAAACCGGTTTCGGCTACGGTTGTCTCTGTTGAAGTCTCGCTCGATCCTCTTTCCTTTGGTACCAGTGCCCCCTCCCCCCGAGTTCTCCTTTCTCTGTTCAGACGGGCAAAGTTGCCGGAAAGAGTGGTGAAATGAGTGTCAGGGCTGGGGGCCAGCGCCCCTGGCTGCCTGGGGTCAGGGCTGGTCACTTTCAGCAGCCAACGCTCCCCCCTCCCCGCCCCCCAATAATAAGGCTAAGAAGTCAACTCTGGCCACAGCAGTGGCTTCAGACCATATGGTGACGTGTCATGAACAACTGCAGGGGGCTCCACCTTCACTGCCCTCAGCGTCCCCTGGCACTGATGGGGATCTACACACCCAGCGCTGGGTGTTGAAATTGCTTACAGCATTCAGGCCCTTAGAACTGTCCCCGTGCCCTTCCCTGTACAGCTGTGCAGGCCGATGGTTTGGGGGGTCCCTGCGTCTTGGCCCTACAGGCTTTTAACACTTCGCCTGCAGGTCCCTCGGCCGGCAGCAGCGCCCCTCCCCCCGGGGTGCGGTGCTGGGCCTGGCCTGCCAGCTCCTCCCGGGCAGGGGCTGTCCTGACAGGTGCGCCGGCAGATGCCAGGCCGCGGGCTCTGCGAGCCATTGTGCTGTGTTTACGTGTCTGCTTTCCCCGCCCCACTCCCGCTCCGCTGCCTTTCCCCGGGGCTGCCATCGGGAACAGACGTAAAACTGCGCTTCCCGCTCAGGAAACAGACAGCCGACCCTCTTTGGGAAACACTCGGAGCAGTTCTGCCCTAGAACAATGCTGTCCTTATGCGGTCCTTCCCCTCTCAGAGGCCAGGCCCTCACGCCTGTCTGCGCCCTCGCTGACGTCACGCCCGTCCATCTCCTTGCCTGCCTTCTGGGTGCATTGTTGAGACTCACCTGTCTGGACTCGCCCGGACACCTGGGGACCCACAGCTTCCCTCTGTGATCCCGGGAGCCCTGGCCCCCCTTCGCCTCTGCGCCCTCCCCCTTTCATGCTGGAGCAAGTGGTGAGCGCAGGCTTGTCCAGCCTCAGTCCCCGGAGGGTGGGTGCCCATGCAGCCTGCAGACATCACTCTGGGAGCCGGGAGGTTTGGGGCTCTGCTCCTTCCTTGTTCAGGGCAGGCCAATGTGCGGAGTCAGACCTGTTTAAAAACCTTGGACGCTGTTGTAAGAAGATAATAAGGAAATGCAAAGGCCCTAATGGTTAGCGCCTGCTCCCTCAGTGCTCCAGGCTCTGCTCAAGGCACCTGCAGGGGACCCCTCCCCTCCAACCCCCGAGGGAGGGGTTGCGGATGCCGTGCAGATGAGAGAACGGGGCGCCATGGCAGAGTGGGGACGTGAATTCGGACTCTTTGGTTCCATTCCTCCTCCTCCTCTGGCCCCACGGCCGTCTGGTACAGCGGGGGTGGGCGGGGGGGGGGGGGGAAAGGGGTTCAGCCAGGGCAGAGGCTCACCCAGCGGTCACGTGGTGACGTGAACAGGGATTGATGTGGGAGTTCACAGTTGTAACAGGTGGACCTTTGGCTGCAAGGAATGGGAAAGGCGGTGAATGGTGATTTGAGCACATTGGGTCTTTGTTTTTCTCACACAGGCAGGCAGTGGCTTGTATTTTTCTGTTGTTCCAGGAGTGCCCGCCGGGAGCCAGCTCTCCACCTTTGCTCTGTGTCCTCAGCACGGTCGCTGTTCTTGTACTCGACACCTCAGTGTCCTAAAAGGGCTGCTGCAGCGCCAGCCTTCACGTCCGGGTTGCAGGCAGCGGGGAGGGGGAGGAGGAAGGGCTGCCCAGCCGTGTCTGCTCCCTCTCAACTCCCACATCAGACTCCTGAGACGTCACTGACCAGGATGGGTTACATGCCCATCACTAGCTGCAGGGCATGCTGGGAAAGAGAACGGGAGTGTCATGATGGGCTTAGATGCACAAGGATTCAGGGCCTCCTGAGGGAAACTGGTTGTGAGCAGGGGGCGGGGAGGTAAGAGCCTTGCTAAGACGGTGGAGAACGGAGGCCATACCACTCTGAGGAGGGTCCCACGTTTGAAATCCTGTCAATGTGCTTACAGAGCCCGGGAGATCGGCAGGGTCCCCGTGGAATCGGGGCTGCCCACGATGACCCCTCACTTAGCTGTTTGCTTTCCCGCTCAGGGGAAACGGCGGTGCCCAGGAGCCGTGCTCCGGGTGGCCCCAGCCTCCGTCACTATTGTGACAGTAGACACCTGGCGTTGTAGTTTGCCAGCTGCCTCTTGGGGGCCAGTATGAGAGCCTTTCTTATATTTATATGCTGATTCCTTTTTTCTTTCACAAAGAGAAAAGACAAGAGCCCTTATGAATCATTCTCAGATCCCTGACTTTAGAAATGTATGGTGGAGAACAGAGAGGTGCGGTGACTTGCCCAGAGGCACACAGCCAGCGTGTGGCGGGCTTCATGCTGGGGGAGCTGGGGGAAGAGGCTGATGATGGCTTTAGCAGAGGGGTTGAGGGCGAGGGTGGAGGTAAGGGCGTCAGTCACCTGTGTGTGTCTTTCTTCCCCAGAGAAGACATGTCTCAAGCAGGACACCTCTCCAGGAGCCTCATCTTGTGCACCTTCCTGCAGGAGCACGGGCTGCAAGCGGTGGAGGATCCCGGCGTGACCAGCCTCCTCCAGTACTCGCCTGAGCCCCTCGGGTAGGTCCCACCGGCTGTCTGCGGGCCCCGCCCTCCCCATTCCTGGTCCCGGACCTGGGGGGTGGTGAGGAGAGCAGGCCTGCTGGGTTCCGGGCAGGGCTCCAGGGTGGAAACTCCCGGGTGTGGTCGTGGAGGCCAGCGCCTGGGCAGGAGAGCTTTGTTCTGATCCCATTGCACGGAGGGCACCTCAGAGCATCCCAGGACCTTAGGCGCCAGCATCCGGTGCCTCAAGCTTGTGGATTAGGACGGAGTGCCTCCTGGCCCCGTGACCCCCCATGACCACGACCACTACACCAAGGCCTCTTAAGAGCCAGGCCGGGTGTGGCTCAGTGGTTGAGCATTGACCTTGAACCAGGAGGTCACGGTTCGATTCCTGGTCAGGGCACATGCCTGGGTTTATGGGCTCGATCCCCAATGTGGGGAGTGCAGGAGTCAGCTGATCAAGGATTCTCTCTCATGGATGTTTTCTCTCTCCCTCTCCCTTCCTCTCCGAAATCAATAAAAAAATATTTTTTAAAAAAAGGCCTCTTAAGAGAGGGATCGAGGTAGCCTGAGGCCGCTTCAGGCTCGGCTGCAGCTCCCGGCCCTGGCTGGTAGGGCGGCAAAGAGGGCGCGTGCCCAGGATCAGTTCAGGGCCCGGAGTCATTAGATCCTGGACTTGGGGGTGGGGCTGGTTGGGATGTTAGGGCCGGGGGGACCCACAATGTGCCTTTTTCCTCCACCCCGCCCGTTTGTAGATGACAGCAGGGGACGTCATCGGGTATCGGCATGCAGGTGGGACCTCGGCCCACCCCTGGTGCCAGCCAGCCCTCCCCACCCTCCCGCCCCCATTGCTCCTGGAGCAGAGAGAGCATGGCCCCGAGACTGGGCAGGTGGCCGGGCTGTGCTGGGCTGGGAGGCCTCTGGTCTGGGAATTCCCAGGCAGCTGCCTGGTCACTGGGATGGAATGTGTGGGCAAACCCCTGAGAGCAGGGCTGCGACCCGCCCAGGCACACAAGGGGGAGGGGAGGACGTCAGACTGGGCAGCTGGGGGGAGTGGAGCCTCCACGTCCATGAAGGAGTCTATTCAGGGAGAGTGGGTCCCAGATGGGCTGGTCAGCCCCTCCTTTCTCAGGGGTGATGACATAGAGGAGGTTTCAGGATTGGGGACCAGGGACCAGGTCCCTGAGCACCTCCCCACGAGGAGGAGGGTAAGGTGAGGCCCCTGTGGGAAGTCAGCCTGTGATCCGGGCGGGGGGGGGGGGGGCTCAGCCCCCCACCTGCCCAGCTCTAAGGCCCAAAATGCCTCCATGTCCTACCCCAGCTGAGGGCTCAGACCAGACCAGAAGCCCCTGCCCCCGCTTCTGGAGCCCCCGGTGGACAGACCTCGATGGCTGTCTGCAGCGAGGTGGGAGCCAAGGAGAGGCCTTGGTTCCCTGCCCTGCGCCCCACTCTGTGCCCCGCTCACCTGTGGCCCCGCTGGCTGGGTGGGCCTAGGTGTGCGTCACCGGCACAACCCACCCTCCTTCCCTGCACCCCTCGCAGAGCCCTCCCTCACGAGGTGGCCATGCGGCTGGCCTGCATTGGGGACGAGTTGGAAGTGAGATGGACGCTGCCCCGCTTTGCCCACGTGCCCTGGATGGCCATGTACAGGTACCAGCCCCGCCCAGCGTCGCCAGCCCAGTGTCGCGCTTCGTCCTTCCTGCCTCGGCTGCCGGCAGCAGGACCTCGAATGACAGGACATGCTGAGTGGGCTCCGATGGTGCTGCCCGAGGCCCCGGCGGAGACGCTCACGATTGGCCAGCCTCCCTGAGGGTTCTCAGACCTCATGGGATTGCTGGGGGGGGGGGGGGCAAAGGGCCCTTCCTGGAGACCAGGCCCCAAGCGGTGCGGTCCCTTGGTCTCAGGGAGGCAGCCTTCTCTTGGGGAGCCCAGGCCTGTCTCCAAACAGCTTCTCTGGAGGGAGGACCTGCTCCCGGGGCCCGCCTCTTCGGGCTGTGGGCAGTGGAGGGTTTTCCACGTGGCCAGGTCCAGAGCGAAAGGCCAGACGCCAGTGCGCTGGCAGGTGTGTGGGGGGGACACGGACGGGGACAGAGAGACAGGAAGTCAGGTGACCTGAGGACCAGAAACAGCCCATGGAGCATGGAGAGAGGCCCTCATTGCGGAGCCGCCCAGGGAGGAGGGCGAGGGTGGGCGTGGGGGAAGGGGCCGGGGGGAGGGGGCCCTTTGCCCTGTCCACGCGGTAATCGCCGCTCCCACTCCCATTTGTCTCACAGCTTCGCGCACACCTACAACCAGACCGGCCTGAGGGTGGTCCTTACCAGTGTTATGGGTGGTCTCCCTTACCTCAGGGGGAACAGAAGGTTCTGGAGCTTCCTGATCCTCAGGGCCTGGGTAAGCCTGGGCAGCGGAGCTGCTCGGTAAAGCGTTCCTCTCGTGGCCCCAGTCCCCCCACTCCCTGTGCTAGTCTCGCCTGCTCCACCCACTTCTGCCTGGTCCCAGAGGCCTCTGGGTTGAGACTGGGATTGCTGACCGGGCACGGACCCTCGGGTGCCTTGCCTGCTCCACACCTGCGTCCACACCTTCCTCCGGTTCCTCACTCACCTGCCAGGGCAGGGGACGCTTGTCCTGAGCAGTTTTCCCGACCCCCGACCTGTTCGCCCACCAGCAGTGGATTGCCCCCTACCCCTCGGCCTGTCCTCAGGGGCACTTGCCTCTCCTACCTCCTGCCCTCCTCTCTGGACCAGGTCCCAGAGCCCCGTTCCTGCGGGAGATGCCCTTGTTCACCCCCCTTACCGACTTCCCCTCACACCCCACTCGCCCACAGGGCTGACCACCAGCCCCCCAGGTGGTCCTCACACTCCCCTTCCTCTCACAGGTGTCCCCCCGCCAGGGACGGGGGCGCAAGCTGTCCGGGCTGCTGCTGCTGGCGCTGCTCCTAGACTGGGGCCTGCACCTCCTCCAGTGACGCGCTGCTGGCCAGCGCGGGGCGGGCTGGCCCCTCCCCCCCCACCACCCTGGAGGTGGCCTTGTTGGTTTTGTCTTTTTAACTGTTTTCTTATGATCCCCTTTTTATATTTAAATTCTGAGTGCTGGGACACTCCTGAGGTTTCATACGTGTTTTTTTGGTTTTGTTTTTTGTAAGAGAAATGAATTATACCTCTGGGATCTTCATGGCTAACTGTTCTCCTGGCCCCAGGAGCCATCCTCTCCTGTGGGCCATGCAGCAGGCGCTGGGGGAGTGCTGGTCACACCCTTGTCTGCGATGCCTGCAGCAGAGAGAATCTGCTGGAGTAGATTTTGAGGGGTGAGGAGAGTCAATAAAATGTTGGTTTCCATTCGTCTCTGGTCTTCTCTGGGTTTGCAGCGTGAGCTCCATCTTGCCCCTTGGAGGGAAATAATGGGGAGTTGGGGGGGGGAGCATGGCCTAGCCACTTGCCTGCGTCACAGCCTCGAGCTCCCCCCACACCCGAGTGCTGCGTGGGCCCCAAAGCACCGGTTCACTCTGCCCCTCATGTCTTGGTGCCTGAAATCGACCATAGGGATTCTTTCCTTGGGCTGCCTGCCCTCCCGCGTGTGCTCACCCAGCCCTGCCTGCGGGCGTGGTGCAGCCTCTGAGCACGCACAGGAGGGGGTGCTGGGCAGGGGCACCAGGATTCCCACAGGTGCAGAAAGGTGCCCCTTTCCTCGTTAAAACCAGCTTTAATCTGAGTCCATGGCGGTCTAAGAAGTCACTCTTCAACCCCCAAAGGAAGGACCAGTGGCCTGTTCCTCCCAGGCAAGGTGTGGGATTCCTAAGGAATCTGCACAGTGCTCCCCATCACCCCCACAGCAGCGCTCTCCAGCAGGCCGGGCTCGCCCAGGGTGGACACGACCCCACTCCCCGGGGACCTGAGGCAGAGGCTGCCGGGGCAGTGAGGCTCCTCCCAGAGCAGGTGCCAGGCTGTGGGGCCAGGAGGGGTCCCGTCATCTATTTCGGGGGCCTTTAAACATGAACACGGCCCCTGGTCTGGTCAGGATTCCTGGAGATGAGGCGAGGTGGAGGCTCAGAGGGTGCCCGGGGCACCCTGCTCCTGCCAGGGCAGGAGGGCAGCGCCCAATCCAGGCAGACCAGGGAGCCAGGGCTCACCACTGACAGGGCACCCGAAGATGGAGGGACCCCCTGCACAGAGGGTGTTGGTGTCCCCAGGGAGGAGGACTGGCCGCCAGCCCTTCAAGGGGAGTATGGGGCCCCGAGACTCGGCTCCTCCAGATTCAGTGGGCAGGGCCCACCCATCCACCCCAACCCAGGGCTCCTGGTGGAGGTTCTCGCCACACCCTCGGGGTCCCTCCGGTGCCACTGCCTCTCGCTGGCTGTCCCGGCTGCTCCTATGGCTTGAAGCATGCGCAGACCCAGGGCACCCTTCTGGAGGCGGAGCAGGCCTGCCACACCCGCTGTCCCCCACGCACCCCGCTCCCTCACTCGGGACTTCTGGGGCTGAGGGACCTCGGACACCTCCCTGCCGGCAGCGCAGTCCGCCCAGGAGCTGGTCTGACCGAGTTGCTCAGCACTCTGCAAAGTGGATTCCAGCAGAACTGGAGATCACTTACAATAACAAAGTTCTCTGAATGTTTGAGAATTTCTGCACATTTTAAGAAACGGTTCTTGCCCGGCTGGCGTGGCCCAGTGGTTGAACGTCAGCCTATGAACCAGCAGGTCATGGTTCGATTCCCGGTCAGGGCACATGCCCGGGTTGCGGGCTCGATCCCCAGTGTGGGGCGTGCAGGAGGCAGCCGATCCATGATTCTCTCTCATCACTGATGTTTCTATTTCCCTCTCCCTTCCTCTCTGAAATCAATAAAAATATATTTTAAAAAAACAAAAAACAGTTCTTCAAGGAGTGCCTGGACAGTGGGCATATCCACAGTGGCTCTCGGCCAGGGCTGTGGAGACGGCGTGTTTGGGGGTCACGGTGGCCAAGAGCCGGCACAGCTGCCCGCAGCAGGGGTTCCTGCAGGGGAGGCTGGTTCCACCCGGAGGCCAGCAGGGCCCTGCTGAGAAACTGGAGTTAACCCCAGAAGCCCCACCCAGGATTTGAAGAGTCAGCACATCAGCAGCATCTGAAGACGGACGCACGTTTCCCTCCCAGGAAGGCCTGCCCACTGTCTCATCAATGAAAACCCCAAGGAGAGAACCGAGGTGGCAGCGTAGGTAAACGCCGGTCCGGGACCCCTGCCTCCCACACCGCATCAGCATTACAACTAAAACCACCACCATCGCCTGAAAGCGGCTGAATGGAAGTCCTACGAGAAGGCACGCTGGTCGGAGGGGCAGAGGAACGGAACAGGCTGGACCGGCACCCACGCGTGCCACTTCTTTAATCAGGAGGGAGATGGTCTCTGTGGAGGCCCCCCGTGAGGAGCAAGCGGTCCCAGCCCCACAGCCCAGGCTCCCAGAGCTGGGAAGATAAGTCCCCGTAATACAGGCTGTGAAAACCAGCAGGGATTGGGGCTCAGTGACAGAGGCTGCTGGAGACCCAGCTGTTCCTCTTAAAGTGCCAGCGCATGCACTGAACTTACAAGGTCCTGCTTCCTCTGAGCTCCAGCACCGGGGGTAAGGCGCTGGGGGACCCAGACATACGCGGAGGAACTGGATTGTCTGGCATCAGGGCAGAAACTAGAACCAGTAGACAGCTTCAGCTCATACCAGATTACAACTTTACACAAGCAACACACTCAGAGCAGACACAGTGAGCACCAAAGCCCCACTGAAGCATAGGGGTGTCCTGCTCCATAGGGGTGTCTCCTGCACAGCAGCTCTCCCACTGTAGGGCAGCTGGTCCTCACAGCCAATTGGCCTGGAGATCAGTTCCTCCCAGGGGCACCAACAGCAATCAAGGCTCAACTACAAGACTCAGCAGTCTTCACATAAGCAGCACAGCTGCCCCTTCCCCAGCATCCAAACACGCCTAGAGGAGAAACGGACTGTGTTGTATAAATACTCACTTTATGTGCTTTACGTGGCGTCACACAGTCCCTCCCCATCACTGGCGGCAGAGGCTGGACAGGAAGCAGCAGGAACAGCCTCCTCTGGGGAGGCCAGGCCGGCTCAGCCCCCGCCGCCCCCACCACACCTCACCCCACCCCGTGGTCATTGGAGACCCTACAGGTCCTCGTCCGCGGCCTCGTCGGCCTCGAGCACTTCCACGTGGCTGTAGGACTTCCAGGCCTGCAGGTTGCAGCTCCTCAGGATGGCGCCCAGCTGCTTCCCAGGCCCCACCTCGAAGGTCCTGGGGAAGTCGGAGCCCTTCTTCCTCTCGTACAAGGCGTGCATCGTCTGCTCCCACTTCACCGGGGAGACCACCTGCTTCACCAGCAGCTGCTGGATGTGCTTAGGGTGCATGTACCTGCTCCCGCTGACGTTGGCGTGCACAGAGACCAGGGGCATCTTCACGTCGATGGCCTTGAGGACCTGCGCCAGGGGCTCCACGGCGGGCTCCATGAGGCGGGTGTGGAAGGCCCCGCTGACCGGCAGCATCTTGGTGCGTCTGAAGTGGTACTTGGAGGAATTCTTCTGGAGAAACTGCAGAGCCTGCAAGGAAAAGGGTGGAGGGTTAAGCCAAGCAAAGCTCAGGGGAAGACACAGCAGCCAGCACGGCTCCGTCACAGCCCCGTGTCCAGAACATGCTTATCCGCACCTCCTCCCACATCTCCTCCTGCAACCACAGGTGGTGACGGGCTTTATTCACCTCATTCGTTAGAGCGGCTCCTGAGTCAGTGCCCCAGGAGGCCTCCTCCAGGACCTGACCATTCACCGGTCGCCCAGGCAGCCGACCACAGTGTGGCTGAGAGATCTGAGGCTGGAACCGTGGGATCTGGGTCCCATCTCAGCACTGTCATTCACTAGCTTGGTGGCTCCAGGCAAACCACTCGGCCTCTGAACTTCTCATTCCATCCCCCAAAAGCACAGTTTCATCTACTTTAAAAGGTTGCTGGGAAGTGATCAGATCGGAGGGGTGTGACAGAGTCTGATAACAAAAAAGCGCTATCTAGCCCTGGCCGGAGTGGCTGTTGGTTGAGCACAGCCCTGTGCACTGAAAGGTTGCCAGTTCGATTCCCGGTCAGGGCCCAGGCCCAGGTTGTGGGCTCGATCCCCAGAGGGGGGCGTGCAGGAGGCAGTCGATCAATGATTTTCTCTCATCATTGATGTTTTTATCTCTCTCTCCTTCTCCCTCCCTCTCTGAAATCAATGAAAATATCTGAAAATAAAAATCAACATAAAATATTTAAAAGAAAACATTTTAAAAAGCACTGTTTAATGCAGCGGTCACCAACCTTTCGGACCTCACGGACCACCAGTGGTCTGCAGACCGCTGGTTGGCAACCGTTGGTCTAATGTGTTCATTTTCAATCGAATTCCGCTACCCCTCGTCATGTTTACTAGGGCCTGTTCTCACGTTACTAAAGAACCTCCAACATGAAAACCCAGGAGGCTCCCAGCTCATTTCCCAGCGCAGGGTCTTCCCCGGGCCCCTCCTCCAGGCTTCCCTGCGGAAGAAGAGAGCTCTCCTCCGGAAGCCCATCCCGATCCGGGGCCAACAGGCCTAAACCAGGAGCTGCTTGCTAACAACATAACTTGCAAACGTCTTTAACAATCGATATTCTTAAGAGACGCTTTGCTCTCAGGACATGGCCCAGGGCCGCCCTCCACTGGGACCTGTGCACTAAACAGTCTGCCATTCCCCCCAACCCAACACCATCCACAACTTGCTCCCCCCAACCCGACTCCATAAGGGCCTGCCCCCCACAACCCGACACCATCCACAGCCTGCTCCCCCCAACCCGACACCATCAGGGCCTGCCCTCTCCCCGCCCAACCCGTCACCATCAGGGCCTGCTCAGAGCCTGGGCCAGCTGCTCCCTGGAAGACTAAGTTAAGCCTCAAAAAGGTCATGGCAGTTGCATGATCTTGGGCGATTTTACTTTACCTCTTGTGGCTCAGTTTCCTCCTCTCTAAAATGGGGTAACGGCAGTAGTTATAGGGCTGCTAAGGAGAACTACGCTTGGCAAACAAGTGCTATTTAAGGGTTAGCAGTCATTCTCTGGAATACCAAGCCCATCCATGCCCACAGGGGAACTTTGTAACAGGGGACCTAGTCTGTGCCCCCACAGGAGGTGGCTTACTGTTTTGGGTGGCACGGCACCTCTGGGGGCCCCTCCCTGCAGGGGTGTATCCTGGCCGCCCAGGCGTGGCCATGGCAGCCCTCGGCCCTCCTGTCACTCTCCCGTGCTGTTTGTCAATGTCCCACACAGAGGCTGCCCCAAGCAGCTTGAACCCCGGGGCAGGTGCCAAGTAGAGCCCAGCCCAGCACCGCCCAGCACACCTTACCCAGGTGGGGACCTCACCTGTGGGAACCACACCTGTGGGGACCGCTGAGGGGTTCGGGCTGTCACTGCGGCAGAACCCTGCCTGCCCTGGGGCCTCACGTCCGTCACCCCATCTCCCGGAGGGCTGTGCCCCAGCAGCCTCTGCACGGAGGCCTGTTGGCTCCATGTGACACAGCATCCTGCATGGACCTTGCATCACTGCAGTGGGTCCCCTAGTGCTTTCCATGGAGCCTCCCACTCCTCCACCTCGAGTCCCAGGTGGGGCCCAGCAGGCTCCCCTGTGGCTGGCGCTCAGTCAGCGGGTCCAGCGGAGGCGCCGAGTGTTTACATCCTGGGGGGAAGACCCCGGCACTTCCCACAGAACCGAAAGGCCACACCGGGGACCCTGGGGGCCACCGGATGATGCCCACCTGCCCGGGAGCCTGCAAGGGAGAGCCTGCCGGCTGGGGCCCGCCTGGCCCACTGCGCTTCGCCCCAAGGCTGGGAACGAGCAGCCAGCTTCATGACGACGTGGGGGCCACTGTAGCTGGTCTCTTCACCATCTTGTCACAGAGGGGCCTGCTGGCTCTCGCTGACTCGGGAGAGATAGGACACCCGGCTGCTGGCAAGGCCTTAGAGCAGCGGTTCTCAACCTGTGGGTTGCGACCCCTTTGGGGGACGAACGACCCTTTCACAGGGGTCGCCTAAGACCATCAGAAAACACACATATAATTACATATTGTTTTTGTGGTTAATCACTATGCTTTAATTATGTTCAATTTGTCACAATGAAACTGGGGGTCACCACAACATGAGGAACTGTATTAAAGGGTCGCGGCATTAGGAAGGTTGAGAACCACTGGCTTAGAGGGAGCACTGAGCAGCCAAGTGCAGGAAAGCACTCGAGTGAGACCAGCCTCAGCCCCGGTGCTGCCTCCCTCGCCTCCAAGCACTTGCCCTCTGCCTCCACTTCCTCGTGTGTGAAGCTGAGCCCAGACGCCCTGCCGCAGGGCAAGGACTGGCTGGGAGGACCAGACAAGGCGTGTGAACAGCGCCCTGCGCCCCAGCCCTCCCTCGGGTTCCCACCCTCCCTGGCATCCATCTCCTCCAGGCACCGCCGTCTGGTGTCACCTCCGCAGGCCACTAGTGGACAGCCTGGCCCTTACTGTGCCCTGAAACCTGGCTCATCCGCTCCCGGCGGCCTTCCTTCGATGGCAGGAACCCTGGCTTATCAGCCATGGGGGCCCTCAGCGCCTGTTACAGAGGAGCTGCTGGGAAGTGCCGTGGGGGGAAGCGGCAAATGGAGAGACGTGCAGGATTAACTCGGTGCAAAAACAGACATCTGGGAGCAAGCAGGGCGGGCGGAGCAGCCCAACAGGAGACGGCTCTCACCTCTCTAAGGAAGCAGCACAGCAAGGCTGTGAGAAGCCCAGAATGTTCTATAGGGAAGCCCTGGAGACCATCTGGCCAGCCCTTTACGACTCAGGTGGGCTGGCGGACCCTGCCTGTCCGTGTGAGGCGGGGATGGCACCCAGCCTTCGGCCTCCTCTGCATCGCTCACTGCCCACGCTCCCGGCCCTCACCTACTTCCCAAGACCACGGCTGGGGCTCACGGGGTGGAAGAGCCCCGCCTCTGCCTGGGACTAGGTCTGGGAGGCTTCCCGTCAACACCAACCTCCAGGTGTCCCGAGATCACCCTGCAGTCCGGGAAGAGGTAGTTGGCCACCTCACACACGGGGTTCTCTATGCCCAGGGTCTTGCAGTGCTCCCGGGCTTCCAGACAGGCGAACGTGAACTTGGTCTGGGGCCGGCCGAGGACGGACAGCATCCCGCTGGGGACGGCTTCCGAGGCTTCCTGCATCGCCTCCGCCCGGACCTTCACCGCATACAGACCTGGCCGGAGAGAAGTGCATTGGGAAATCAGTGCACGTAAGGAGGGAAGCTCAGGCTGTGGGACACGGCACAGCTCCGCACAGCGTGCCGAGGCACTGACATCGGCATGTCCCCAGCCACATGGCCATCGTTGTGTCTGCGTCTACCACTCAGAGATGTGCCACTGCCACCAGGAAGCAGTGCTGTCCTCGGCCGGCACAGATGGACCCACGGAGCTCCCGCCTGGAGGCTGGCTTGGTGTCGGTTCTGACCAGGAGTGATCTTGCCCCCAGGGCAGTGTCTGGAGGCATTTTTTTCATTGTCACAACTGGGGGGAGAGGGGTGCTGCTGGCAACTGGTGGGCAGAGGCCAGGGATGCTACTCAACATGCAAAGCACCCCCAAAGCAAAGAATGATCTGTCCAAAGTGCCAACAGTGCTGCCGCCGAGACCCTGAGACCCTGAACCCTGGTGCGCGGTCAAGGCAGGTTCTCGGGGCACGTTGCTGGGGCAAGTTGTGGTCTCCTTCCAGGTCAGATTTTTAGTCAGTACAATGAGGATAATAGCATGTATCTGCCTGGACTGCTGTGAAGTCAGGAGTGTTATTAATTACTTTATTGTTTAAGAGAAATCTTGTTGAAGAGGAAAACAGGAGCCAGCAGGTATTTGGAAAAATGTACAAACTACAAACAAGTACACGAGTTTCAATAACGTAATTATTATAAATCAGGCACCACCGTCCTCACTCAGAGCAGCACGATCGAGAGCACAGGCTCCTGGTTCCGTGGCTCAAGAGAGGGGAGAGGACAGGGCTGGACCCAGGCAGGCAGTGCCAATGGTCGTGACCCAGGAACGACCTGTACCTACTGTCCCTGACCAGGCCAAGGGGCCAGTCCTGGGTTGGATGGGACAGCAGAGAAGCCTGAGGAGCGAGTCCTGCACTGTCTGTCCAACATCCTCATTCACTTGGTACCGACATGTGTTTGCACTGAGCTCTTAGCCCCCGTACTGGCAGCGAATGCATAAGAGCCTGTGGTGGGACATAGCAGAGGACACGCACGAGAGAGAACATGGGACATCCTCCCATGCAGGCATTCAGGAAGTAGCTGTGCAAAACGTCAAGTGAGAAAACTGAACACAGAATGTACACCTGCTATAATTCTGAAAATTACTCACACATAAAACTATGTACGTACAAGAGAGTTTTATTAGCAGGTAGGAAATATGAAACCTTTTCATTTCCTTAATAGTGCTATATATTTTTAAAACACTGAGGTGAGCCCTAGCCGGTTCGGCTCAGTGGATAGAGCATTGGCCTGCGAACTGAAAGGTCCCAGGTTTGATTCCGGTAAAGGGCACACGCCTGAGTTGTGGGCTCGATCCCCATTGGGGGACTTGCAGGAGGCAGCCGATCCACCATGACTCTCTCTCATCCCGGATGTTTCTATCTCTCTCTCCCTCTTCCTTCCTCTCTGAAATCAATAAAAATATATTTTAAAAATAATAAATAAAACACTGAGGTGAAATTCACAAAAAATACAAGCAGTTTCAAGTGTACAAGGCAGTGGTACTTGTATTCATGCTGTGCAACGTTTCAAAACTGTCCACATCCCATAAAACTGTCCACTGTCCCACCTGCTAAGGGTAATCACTCCGTTTCTCCTTCCGTCCACCCCAGCAACCACTAATCTGTTGTCTCTGGACATTTCATTTGCCAGCATCACACAGTCTGTGCCCGCTGTGGCTCCTCACTGAGCATCTGTTTGAGGTTCATACATGTTGCAGCCTGTCGATGCTTCACCCCTTTTTACTCCTGACTAATATTCCACCATGGATACATGATTAGCTTTTCCGCTCATCTGACGACGGACATTTGTACTGCTTCCGCCTTTGGCTATTACACACATCTGTGTACACGTTTTCCTGGGTGGACATGTTTTCATCTTAGGTACAGACCTCCGGGAACAACTCCTGGCTCACAGGTGATTCTATGCTTCGCTTTCTGAGGAAGCACCACGCTTCTCCACTATGGCTGCACATTTCACACTGTCACCAGCACCGTGGAAGGTTCCTATTTTCTACACCCTTGCCAACACTTACTATTTTCCTTTTTGTTACTGATGTTTTAAATTAAAGCCATCCTAGTGGAGCCCTAGCCGGTTTGGCTCAGTGGATAGGGTGTCAGCCTGCGGGCTGAAGACTCCCAGGTTTGATTTTGGTCAAGGTCACATGCCCAGGTTGTAGGCTCAATCCCCAGTGGGGGGCGTGCAGGAGGTAGCCGTTCAATGATTCTCTCTCATCATTGATGTTTCTATCTCTCTCTCCCTTCCTTTCTGAAATCAATAAAAATATATTAAAATAAAATAAAATAAATGAAAAATAAATTTTAAAAAAGCCATCCTGGTAGATGTGAAGTAGTATCTCATGTGGTTTGTTGTTTTGTTAAAATATGCTTTTATTGATTTCAGAGAGGAAGGGAGAGGGAGAGATAGAGATATCAATGATGAGAGAGAATCATTGATTGGCTGCCTCCTGCACGCCCCCTAATAGGGATCGAGCCCGAAAACCAAGCATGTGCCCCGACTCGGAATCAAACTGTGAACTCCTGGTTCATGGGTCGATGCTCAACAGCCGAGCACACCAGCCGGGCTCATGGTGGTTTCGATGTGCATTTCCCTAATGATGAGCAATGTGGCACATCTTCTCATGTGCTAATTGGCCATTGTGTATCTTTGGAAAAATGTCTATTCAAGTCCTTTGCCAGGGCTCCTCACTCAGATTCCTGTCGGCACTGAGCATGCCCCAAGCCAGGTACCCAGGCCAGAGCGGCCAACTGCAAACAAACACTCTTAGGCTGCCGTGCAACTCTATGCAAACTCTTAACTCTATGCAAAACTCTTACGAAGTGAAACTCAAGATCAAACATCCACCTCCTCCTTTCCATTCAGTGAACTGCACTGAGTGTCTGCAGGTGACAGGCACGGAAGGCGTGCGGTGGACCGAGAATGTACAGGACAGCGGGGAAGACGGTCAAGCACGCAGATCCCATGAGATCACAGAAGAAAGGAAAACGCGATGAGCTCTCCCAGCGTGAGAGGACCAGGTGCCGTATGGGCCTCGTTCCATGGCAGCCCTATCTATATGCCCCTCTAGCTCCCTCGTGGGTGCAGAGTTGTTGCTGGCAATGTCCCTTCTCTCTAGTGAGCCCAGCAAGATGACACCCCTGCGCCACACCAAAGCCCTCTCTGGTACCTTCAGAGAATTCCATGGCTCCGGCAAACACTAGGGCTGCGAATTCTCCCACACTGAAGCCAGCGGCGGCGACACAGCTCTCAATAACCTGCGGTGACAGATGCAGAACGTAAGGCCTGTTCTCGGGACACAGTCGGGCTCTGCTCCGGAGAGCTGGCGGGGGCTCCGGGAGCCAGGCTGGGCGGGCCTGGGGCTCCAGCTCTCAGAGGACAATCGCTGACCCAGGCCCTTCCCTGGTGAGGAACTTCCCCGGCAAGCGAAGGCCCCTGGCTGACTCCGAGGCCCCGGAGCCGCCTCCCAGGCCGGAGGGAGCCAGAGGGAGCTAAGCACAGAAGTGAAAAGTACGACTTTCCGCGTCACCCAGCGTGGGATTGGATTCTTAGCTTGGGACAGTCCCCTAACCTCTCTGAGCCTGTTCTCTCATCCGGGAAATGAGGAAGGAGCAGGACCCGGTCCCAGGGCGGCTGAGAGAATTACGTGAAGGTGATGGGTAAGCCCTCCGTGAATGTTGTTATCACAGCTCAAGAGGACCACGCAGCTGCTCCCTTTCGTTTCTGAGTCTCCTTTCCTCATCCACAAACTACAGTCTCTTCCTCACGAGGTTGTGAGGATGAAATGGAGTGAAGGGTTTAAAGTACTAGTTTCACATTTACTGTCTTGTTGGGCTGGGGTTTTTTTGTTTGTTTATTTTTTTAAAAAAAGTATATTTTATTGATTTTTTTACAGAGAGGAAGGGAGAGAGATAGAGAGTTAGAAACATCGATGAGAGAGAAACATCGATCAGCTGCCTCCTGCACACCCCCCACTGGGAATATGCCCGCAACCAAGGCACATGCCCTTGACCAGAATCGAACCTGGGACCCTTCAGTCTGCAGGCCAAAGCTCTATCCACTGAGCCAAACCAGTTAGGGCTGTTGGGCTGTTTTTGTTTTGTTTTGTTAATCCTCATCCAAGGATACTTTTCCATTGGTTTTTAGAGGGAGTGAGAGAAAGTGAGAAACATCAATGTGAGAGAGACCCATCGATTGGTTGCCTCCCGCACACACCCCAACCAAGTTCCATGCCCTTGACTAGACTCGAACCCACCACCCTTCAGTCTGCAGGCCAAGGCTCTATCCAAGGAGCCAGACCAGCCAGGGGCACACTTCCTGTCTTGATCGTGTTAAATCGTAACAGCAATCAATTCACACCTGCAGGTGAAGTGACATTCCCAGACATCTTCTCAATGACCTTTAGGGATGACGTTCCACCCTCCCAAATTCATTAGGACTTAAATTAAGGATCACTTAAAAAACGACCCGGCCCTTGACTCCCCAGCCCCGGCTCTATTCCCCTTCCTGCAACACTTGTCTGTAACACACTATGCCATGTACACAGTGCATTCATTCCTTATCATGTCTCCCTCCCCTCCATGAAAGCTCTCAGGGCAGGGTCCTTGGTTTTTGTTCATGGCCGAACCTCCGGCGCCCAGAGCAGCGCCTGGCACGGAGTGGGCGCTCGGACCCCGCCCAGCGTGTCCCCGTGGGAGCCCAGG